AGGTGTAACAGACACAATGATACCAGAAGCGGTATTGTAGGGGTAACAGACACAATGATACCCGAAACGAGTACTGTCAGGGGTAAAAAACACAATGATACCCAAAAACGAGTACCGTCAGGGGTAACTGAACCCCAAAGATACCGAAGACGAGAACCCGTTGGGGTAACATGTATGACACAGTAAAATCCCATAAGCCTAAATAATTTATTAAAAAAATTTTTTTAATTAAATTGTACAAAACCCTGACTGGCTATAGTTTTTAGTTCGTCATGGGGGCTATTAACTATTTTTTTTTTATTATCACACCGGCCGATTCCCCCCCAAGGCAGGGTGGCCCGAAAAAGAAAAACTTTCACCCTCTCACCCATCATGTCTTGCCCGAAGGGGTTTCTTTAACTACAGTTTTTTTAAATGCAAAAATTAAAAAACCCCCCTTCAAGTGCAGGCACTGTACTTCCCCTCTCCCGACTAAGTCCGCCTGCCCGGTTTTCCCCGAACCCCTTCATAAATGTTACTTTGCTCACACCCAACGCACGTCAGTATTAAAACCATTTGTCTCCATTCATCCCTTAAACACGCTCCCGATGCCTGCTGGAAGCCAAGCCCCTCGCACCAAAAATCCTTTCCCCCCCTCCCCCCTTCTTGGGCCGACCCTACCCCGCCCTTTCCCTTCCCCTCAGACTGATACACTCTTGAGTATTTTTTCGTCCATTCTTACATGTCCCAACCCCCCAACAACCCTTCCCAGCCCCCGGAAACATTTTTGGGAACCCCCCCTCCCCCTAACTTCCAAAACCCAATTCTTCTGCATTATATTCACACCACACAATTTCCCCCCAGAATGACATCTCCACTGCCCCCCCTTTTCCCGCGAACTTCATCACCCACCTTCACACCCAATAAGAGCGTTGGTAAAACTTATCTCATACATTCCCCCCTTGCCTCCCCGGCAAATTCTTTGTTCCACAATCCCAAGTGCACCCCCTACTCTTTTTCCCCATCAATTTTATGATTCCCCCATCTTTCATAGACCCCTCCCCTGACACTCCACTCCCAAATACGAAAACTTTACCCCCTCCAACTCTCTCCCTCCCAAACTGTTTCAACTTTCCACCTAATCTTTTTGTTTCTATAACCTTCTCTTTTCCCGTATTCACCTTTTAATTTTCTTCTTTTGCCCCCCCTCCCAAAATTTATCCACCAAACTCTGCAAATTCTCTTCGAATTCCCAAGCCCCATGTAATCACAAAGAGCAGCTGTGACAACTCCCCTTTGGGGTTTCTTTTCTTTTTAATCCACCCCTCTTTCCAAGCCCCCGCATTTTTCTTCTCTTACAACCCCACAAAATAAATTTAAAAAACCAGGTGAATCACACATCCCTTTTCTAAGGCCCCACTTTTATGGGAAAAAATTTCCCTCTTTTTCCCAATCTCTAACTTTAGCCTCACTACTCGTAAAACTCTTTTTTGCTTTTAGTAACCTACCTCCTACCCTACACTTGAACTCTGCCACATTGCCCCCCTTTTCCCCCTGTCATACGCCTTTTCCCAAAACCCTAAAAGCCCCAAAAAAACCCCTTTTTCCTTTTCTAAATACTGTTCACTTATATGTTTCACTGTAAACACCTGGTCCACACACCCCCTACCTTTCCTAAAGCCTCCTTGTTCATCTGCTATCCTATTCTCCGTCTTACTCTTAATTCTTTCAATTATAACTCTACCATACACTTTACCAGGTACACTCAACAGACTTATCCCCCTATAATTTTTGCACTCTCTTTTATCCCCTTTGCCTTTATACAAAGGAACTATGCATGCTCTCTGCCAATCCCTAGGTACCTTACCCTCTTCCATACATTTATTAAATAATTGCACCAACCACTCCAAAACTATATCCCCACCTGCTTTTAACATTTCTATCTTTATCCCATCAATCCCGGCTGCCTTACCCCCTTTCATTTTACCTACTGCCTCACGAACTTCCCCCACACTCACAACTGGCTCTTCCTCACTCCTACAAGATGTTATTCCTCCTTGCCCTATACACGAAATCACAGCTTCCCTATCTTCATCAACATTTAACAATTCCTCAAAATATTCCTTCCATCTTCCCAATACCTCTAACTCTCCATTTAATAACTCTCCTCTCCTATTTTTAACTGACAAATCCATTTGTTCTCTAGGCTTTCTTAACTTGTTAATCTCACTCCAAAACTTTTTCTTATTTTCAACAAAATTTGTTGATAACATCTCACCCACTCTCTCATTTGTGAAGCAATGTAAAAAGAGAGCAAATGAGAGAGTGGGACTATTAACTATTCACATGAAAACGTGGAGAGAAGGGAGCCACTATATGTATAAAAGGGAACTTTGCCTCTGTAGATGTCTTCCTTTTTCATTACATTGTTAATGTTCAGAAATTCAGAATACTCGTAACTTTACCTGATCATTATCACCTCCTCTCTTAACTTCTTCCGTTTTACTATATTTGCTTTGCGTTTCCTTTCTTTTGCCTGAGTTTTTTTTCACTTAGTTTTTTGTCCTACCTTCGTCGGTCATTATCTCTGCTGTGATGCTCCTTTATTCCTCTCCTGTTGTCTCTTGTTCTTGTTTCACTAACACTATCTTCTTATTACCACCTCTACCATTGTTCCACTATTTCCAATTCTGCTTTCTTGCAGTGCTCCTTTTTTCTTGTTTATTCTCTTGTTTTTAGACTTCCTCGACTAACACTACTACTATTATCATTGTTTTACTCACACAACTACCTTCTTATTGCTCTCTGTGTCAATGTTGCTCTACTTCTCCCCACTACTCCCACCTCTACAACTATTATTACTACTACTATTATACTACTTCCTCTTCTGGTTCCACTACTCTTGACTTCGTCTCACTCTTGTATATATATATTGTCTCCCTCACCTTCACTCTTCAGTGTGTCTAGTTAATGGTTCAAGTCAGACCAAAATGTCGTCATAAGTTCCAGTCTCCTTTGTGCCGGTTATCTGTGTATTTTTCTTTTGATTATAAACTTCTCCATAATACATGTTAATCAGAGAGGAAAAAATTAGTTTAAAATAATAATACCATTTTAAACATATTTAGGAAAGATCGGATACAATAAGTTGTTTATTTCACAACAAAAAAATGGGAGACTGAGAATACTGAGACAGAAGGTGTGAGCTGTGTGTGATACCAGTGATCTTACAAGAATGATCACAACTTGACATCATCCAATACAATAATTCCCATCTCAGTGTCTTCATTAAGTTTGGTGGTATATTAGTACACATAGTATCACCTCATAGTGATCCATGATGTTAGTAAAACTCTACAGCTCAGCACCAGCTTATACAAAGTTAAACACTACCTACTCTGTGATGAATGGTTTGAAAAACCGACAAGTTGAAGATTGAGACACTTATGCAGCATATGGGAATCTTTATTCAGGAAACGTTTCGCCACACAGTGGCTTCATCAGTCCATTACAAAGAGGAAGGCGTAAGGAGAGGAGGAGTATGAGGTAATCAGTCCCTCAGCCTGGAGTCGATGTGTTCAGTCCATCAATCTTGTAGAGTGTACAGCATAGGGCCGTAGACGTGGCTTATATACTGTAGTGAGGTGACTTGAAGCAGGTGGAGACGGGATCATAGTGGTACCATCCACTAGTCGAAGTAGGTCTTTGTCCAAAGGTTGAACAAGCGTTGAAGAATTCTTTGTAAGAAGATCCCATGATGCTGCAGTGTCTGACAGTTGTGATGAATGGTTTGAAAAACCGACAAGTTGAAGATTGAGACACTTATGCAGCATATGGGAATCTTTATTCAGGAAACGTTTCGCCACACAGTGGCTTCATCAGTCCATTACAAAGAGGAAGGCGTAAGGAGAGGAGGAGTATGAGGTAATCAGTCCCTCAGCCTGGAGTCGATGTGTTCAGTCCATCAATCTTGTAGAGTGTACAGCATAGGGCCGTAGACGTGGCTTATATACTGTAGTGAGGTGACTTGAAGCAGGTGGAGACGGGATCATAGTGGTACCATCCACTAGTCGAAGTAGGTCTTTGTCCAAAGGTTGAACAAGCGTTGAAGAATTCTTTGTAAGAAGATCCCATGATGCTGCAGTGTCTGACAGTTGTGATGAATGGTTTGAAAAACCGACAAGTTGAAGATTGAGACACTTATGCAGCATATGGGAATCTTTATTCAGGAAACGTTTCGCCACACAGTGGCTTCATCAGTCCATTACAAAGAGGAAGGCGTAAGGAGAGGAGGAGTATGAGGTAATCAGTCCCTCAGCCTGGAGTCGATGTGTTCAGTCCATCAATCTTGTAGAGTGTACAGCATAGGGCCGTAGACGTGGCTTATATACTGTAGTGAGGTGACTTGAAGCAGGTGGAGACGGGATCATAGTGGTACCATCCACTAGTCGAAGTAGGTCTTTGTCCAAAGGTTGAACAAGCGTTGAAGAATTCTTTGTAAGAAGATCCCATGATGCTGCAGTGTCTGACAGTTGTGATGAATGGTTTGAAAAACCGACAAGTTGAAGATTGAGACACTTATGCAGCATATGGGAATCTTTATTCAGGAAACGAAACGTTTCCTGAATAAAGATTCCCATATGCTGCATAAGTGTCTCAATCTTCCACTACCTACTCTGTTATCTCACTCACCAACATCACACAAATAAACACTGCAGCAAGGTTCTGTGCGACGCCATATTTACAATGTAAGTGTAACATTAAGAAAATTTCCAAGGTTGTTTATTAAAATTATTTTCTACCACTTAAGGACTTTTTTCTTTCTTCTTCTATCTACACTTTTAATTCCCCATTTTTTAAAATATAATTTATGTTGTAATTATATAAATATGGTTTTCCATATAACACACGAGGAACACCATTAAGACGATTATTGAAGTAAGATTACCATGAAAATCGGGCGTCCTGTGATGCCACGATATACTAAATTAACCCCCATTAATAAATAATATTTATCACAGGTGTTGAGGCAGCTCAGTGCCTGCTCAAGTTTGGCCTCAACCCTGATGTCAAAAATGTACTGGGACAAACACCTTTGGAGTGTGCTAGGCTGCAAGGTCGACACATTGTGTTGTGGTGGCTGAGGAAGCTACAACGCACCAACGTACCTGCTGAAACATCCACTACCAACATAATGGTAAGTTTACTTGAGAAAATATTGAAAATATTTTGGTGCAAATCTGTCGCTTTAGTGCTTGACCTCTTGTTGTCAGTGACAGTTAATTTTAGAAGGATTCAGGAGTAACAGTAAAGAAAAAAAAAAAACGAGAGCGCTCTGTAGGGGCAGTAGTGAAGGTGGTAAAAGTGAGTCACTTGTAGGGGATAGTGAAGGTTGGATAACGTGAG